TGCCCGGCGCGCGCGGAAGATGGGGCGCTGGCGCTGGGATGGGCGGGGACGCGCGGTGATCCCTCTCCACTAATGTGGGGAGTCCACGAGGCCAATGTGGGGGCGCCAGCGAGAGTGGCTCAGACCCTGCCGTTGGTCCCGGTTGGGTAAGGAAGAGGTCCTAGAAAGGGCTGAACCGTGGTCACGCCAGGCCCGCCCTCCGTCTCTGTCTGAGACATCATCTGTAAAGTGGGGTAAAGACAGCTGTCACCGTGCTTGGGCGGTCCGGTGCGGTGGGGCTGGTGGCGCTGGTGAGTGTGGGCTCTTGCGTGGAGTCAACCGAAGGGCCCATTCCCTTCCTATGCCTCCCACAGTCCAGCGCCCTTACCGTCCCCTTTGCCATGAATGCCCTTTCCCTTCCAGTGGACTGCTCTCCGGGCCCTTTGCGACACAGCACCACTGTGGGTGAAGTTCCTTATCCCAGAATGCTCTGGGCCAGCGTCTGGGTGGCCCTTCTGACTCTGGTGTGGTCTTTGTGTCTGTGGCCCTGGCCTGCTGTCCTCCCTGTGCCCTGAAGGCTGGCCGGCTCCCTGCAGGCTCCTGGAAGAGGAGCCTGCCCACTACTGCACAGTCGGTGTGCAAGGCAGGGCAAGCTCTCAGTGGCGCCAGGGAAGTGTGGATAGTACACGTTCCTCCTTCACTGGGCAGATGTCAGGGTGTCTGCCATGGGCCTTGAGGCTGAACTGGGAGGAGGGCTCAGGAGAGAGGCAGAGGAGGGAGTGCAGGGTGGTACCCAGCCTGCCCTAAGGGCTCTGCTGAGCAAAGACAGTGTGAACAAAGGGCATGGGGTGTGCTGTGGAATGGCAGAGAGGCTAGGAAGTGGGGCTGGCCCCACAGGACGTTCCTCACTGGCTTGGCCATTACCTGTCAGAGGTAGTGTGTTGGCACATTGGTCAGGGCAGGGCCAGAGGCCGGATGCCCGTCCAGAGGTAGCTGCTTCTTTGCAGGTAGCAGTACTGAGAGGTGGTACTATCACCCCATCTTCACACATGAGGACCAGGCACCTGGTCAAAGTCACACAACTTGGCTGTGATGGCCGAAGTGCCGCTCACCATGTGGGGTCAGCACCCTCCCGCCTTCTGGCCAGTGCCCCATCCTACTGCCACTCAGGCCTTTTAGCTCCCTCTGCTCCCCCCTCTGTCAAGTACTCCAAGGTCAAGTGGACACTCCCAGGCCCCACTATGCCACAGCAGCTCTCCTCACCTGATCCGCTTAACGGGAGACCACCTTCAGGGAGGTGCTCCCCATGTACCACAGAAAAAACCGAGACCATGTAGCTGGTGATGATGGAGATGGGGTTTGGAATGGGACCCTAGGCCCCTGGCGCCCACCTGAGCCCTCAGTCCTCGACACATTGACCTGGCCCTATCTTAGCACTTTCTGTGGCCAGAAGCCCCCTCCAGGTCCTCCCAGAATGTCCTTGCCCCCTTCCCATCACCCCCTCCCCAGACCTGGAGCCTCTCCCTGGCTTGGGGACCAAGGGCCACCTCCCGTTGGGCCAGTCTGTCAGGTCTTGGTGAGCGCTGCACCTTACTGCCTGTCTGGGGCCTGTGTCTGTCTTTGTTCCTCAGCCACCCTGGCAGGGACCAGACCCACAAGAGTGAGAGCCAGTCTGATGGACAGTGGCCTTCCCCTCTGTAAAAGCACTCCCTAGGGGGTGGAGGGGGGCACAGAGAGGCATGCCAACCCTGTGACTCCGTGTTACAGATGAAGACATGAGGCTCACAGAAGTGATGAAATGACGTGTTTTACTGAACGGATGAAGTGCTTAAGGGCAGAGTCCCAGGTCTGTACTGCAGGGAGCTGGGCCAGGGCAGCCTCTCCACTGTTCCCACACAGGGTGAGAGCACCACCATTCCTGGACAGAGACTGTCCCATTCCCCAGTCGACCTGCCCCTGCCCCGTCTCTGCCTCCCACCCTGAGCTGCTGTGTCCTTGCTCCCTGCTTCCCCAGAAAGGCACAGCTTCCTCCATTTCTCTTCCTGCAGGGGAAGCCCCTCTCTCTCAGTTCTGGGCTTGGACCAAGGCCAAGGGCAGCAGCAACCCCAGAAAGGGTGAAGGGTCAGGAGGTGAGCTGCAGGGGAAGAGGCTGGGCTGAGGGGACAGACCCCCGGCTGCCTGGTCCTTCTTGCTGGACAGGCTCTGACCTCTGGCAGGATGTGCCCCTGAGGCTCTGCTGACTCCATTCCCTGCCTCCTCAGCCCCGCCAAGGGGAGGGTCCTGAGCCCCCACCTCTGCAGAGCCTGTGGGTGGAGGCTGGGAGGAAGGAAGGGGGAAGTCCCAGGGTCCTGGAGAACAAGTGGGGGAGTGCAGGTTCTGAAGGGAAACCCAGCTTTCTGCGGGGTTCCTCAGCCTCCAGGGGTCCTGCAGGGGCTGGTGATGGCAGAGCTTGAATGAGGGCCCAGGAGAGATTCGGGGTGGGAAGGCAGAGGCCCCCAAGGGGCCTCCCTCAGTATCCAGGGCCCCCTTGTCCCAGGAGACTCTCCAACCTTCCCAGTTTGCTGTCTGTCAGTTCTCCCACCTAGAGTGCTCAGAACACATCTTCTGAATCCCTAGAAAACGGCCTGCCATTTGGGTCCCACATGAGCCCCTGTCTCACTCTGAAGCTGCCCTCCTCCGGGCAGGTCTGTCACTAAGCCAGGCTCTTCCTCTCCCCCGCTCAGCCTGGGGCCCCCATGGACTGCAGGGTGCAGCGGTGCCTGATGGGGAGCAGTGGGGAGCTGGGGGAGGGTAAGGAAGTCCCAGTCCTTGTGACTTTAATAGCTACCCTATTGCATCTCCCTACTTTGTTGGGGAGTCCTTCTCTGCGACAGTGGGTCTGGGACAGGCAACATTCATCCTCTCCCCTTCCCTCCGGGGATCCTAGGGGGGTCAGAAACCGGAAAGACCAGAGGTGACCCGACAAACAGAACTTTATGTGAGGGTGGGCGGTCCCGCGGCACCGTCAGCGAGGGAAGATGCTGCCATCCACGCTCGCCTCCAGGATGGTCTCCACTCGCCGCCGCTGTGGGGAAGGGGCTGGGGCCATGTGTGCGCCGGGCAGCGGGTCCCCTGCCCTCCCCAGGGCGGCTCCCTCGCCCCCGCCCCCCAGGCCTTCGGGCACCTCTTGCCGGGCCAGGGGGTCCGGGATCCTCTCGGACTTCAGCTGCGGCGGCAGGAACATTTCCAGCCGGATGGCGGCGCGCGCGGACTTCTGCCGCTGGATGAGGAGCGCGATCTCCTCGGCCTGCGGCGGGGGTGGGGGTCGTGAGCTCTGGCCCTGCCCCCGGGCCATTCCCGCGCCGCGCCCTCCCATAGGGCGCCTGGCGGCCCGGTCCCCAGCAGGCGCCGCCGGAGTCTCTCGCACCCGCATGCGAGTGTAGCGCAGCCGTAGGGCGCGGACTCGCCCGCGGGCCTCGGCGGCCTTGAGGACTCCCAGGAGCTGGTTCTGCCGCTGCTCGGGCAGCTCGGGCGGCTGCGTCCACGCGCTCGGGTCGGGCATGCGGCGCATCAGCTCCAGCGACTCGCGCGGGAAGATGGAGGCAGCGGCGCTCACGTCCTCCAGCAGGTCGCCGAAGAGCAGGTGGCGGTGGCGCTGCGCAGGGCGCATGGCCGCCAGTCCCTCCAGCGTCAGCGCCCAGCCGGGCTTGGGTGGCTCCAACCGGGGCGCCCCCTTCGCGCGCCCCTCGCGGAGCCCCCCGCCCGGCGCGCTCTTTCCGACCTGCTCCGGCGGCTCCCTGCGCCCGGCCTCCTTTGCCGCTGGTGGCTGCATCCTAGGGCTCTGCTGGCGGAGTGGCGTCCGAGCGGTGACCCCTTTCCGCACCCCCGCGCCTTCAGCCTGCTCCCACGTCGAGTCCAGCTCACGTCTGAGGTCCTGTCTGCCCATCTTGCTCATCCGGCGGTCGGCTGGCACTTTCTCAGGGTCGTCTAGTTTCAGGAACTATCCTTCCTGCTGGACGTTTGCACTGAGACCCCTAGTTGATCTCGGGTCCTCTGCAGGGGTGAGGACTACTGGACCCCTCCCAGGAAAGGAACCCTTGTCTGTGTGGTCACCAGACAGCATCTCTCCCACACACTGATAGTGGGGACACCAGGGCTTGGGCTGATCTGTCTCATCCTACAGTGGTTCAGAGGACCATCAGCCTCAGGTTGGGGCCACTGGGCTGGGCCTCCTTTATACTCTGGTTAGGGAACCCAGGCCCTTACAGATGGAGCCTTGGGGAGGACTGGTGTGTCTTTATGGATCTGTGTGTCTGAGTGGGCTTGTGTCTGGATCCATCTGTGTGTGTGCACGTGTGTATCCTAGGGGCCTCAGAGCCGAGTGGACAGCTGGCTGCAGGCATGGGAGACCCATTGTTCTGGCCTGTCCCCCTGCCCCCTGCGGCGCCTGGATGGAAAGTGGAGGGGCAGAGGCCAGAGAGAAGGGATATGGGGTTCCTTCACAGCCCCCTGCACAGTCCTCTCCTTCCCGCTGAGAACGGCCCACAGTGCCTCAGACCGGATCCTGGGCCAGTTCCCAAGCCCTCCCCACCACCCCAGCTGCAGGGATGACCCCTTCCCCCAAGATTCACCCCTCACCCTACACCTCTGCCTTCTCCGGAGCTTCCACCACAGCCTGTGGCTGCCTCTGAGGCTTGTTGACATGGTTGCCTGGCAACGGAGTTATGCCCCTCCCCCAACCTGGCAGAGGGAGCCCCTCTGGAGGACACCCTACCCAGGTAAAATTCCCTGTACCCACCAGAATGCTCTGGGAGGTGACTGTAGTCACCCTGTGATGGTTCCTCCCTCTTCTTCAGCCCTGCTGCTTCCAGACCCCTCACCAGTCCTTCTTTGAAGGGGCCTATGGGGCCTTGTTTTGGGTGTCTGGGGGCTTGGCTGTGAAGAGGCCCTGTCCCCTCAGGGTCTCCTTTGCACTGGCCCACACACGAGACCCACCCTGGCTGAGGAGCGCTGGTGGCCACAAAGAGGGAAGTGGGGCAGAACAGCTGTTTTCACCTCTTCTAGGGTGCATTTGGGATCCCAGGTGCCCCCAAGACCAGACCTGGGTTGAGCTCTCAGTCTCTGGGTCTGGAGCCCTGAGCGTCTATAATCCTATGTCTTCCTGAATTCACTGCTTTTGTACCGTCGTCTTACTCTTACTGAAGATAATTCAGAAACGTTTGCAGCACTATATTGACAGAGAACTTCCAGAGGTTCAAGCCGGATTCAGAAGAGGACGTGGAACAAGGGATATCATAGCTGTTGTCAGATGGATCTTGGCTCAAGGCAAAGAATACCAGAAAGATGGTTACTTGTGTTTTATTGACTATACAAAGGCATTTGATTGTGTGGATCATGACAAATTATGGATAACATTGAGAAGAATGGGAATTCCCGAGCACTTGATTGTACTCATGAGGAATCTGTACCTTGACCAGGAGGCTGTCGTTCGAACAGAACAAGGGGACACTACATGGTTTAAAATCAAGAAGGGAGTGCGTCAGGGTTGTATCCTTTCTCCACACTTATTCAATCTATATGCTGAGCAAATAATCTGAGAAGCTGGACTGTATGAAGAAAAACGTGGTATCAGGATTGGAGGAAGAATCATTAACAACCTGAGATATGCAGACGATACAACTTTGCTTGCTGAAAGTGAGGATGACTTAAGGCACCTACTGATGAAGGTTGAAGAATACAGTCTGCAGTATGGATTACGTCTCAATATAAAGAAAACAAAAATCCTCACAACTGGAGCAATGAGCAGCATCACAATCAATGGAGAGAAGATTGAGGTTGTCAAAGAATTCACGTTGCTTGGTTCTACAATCGATGCCAACGAGAGCAGCAGTCAGGACATTAGACGACGTGTAGCATTGGGACAGTCAACTGCGAAGGAACTGTTTCAAGTGCTGAGGAGCAAGGATATCTCCTTGAGGACTAAGGTGCGCCTGACACAAGCCATGATATTTTCAATTGTCTCGTATGCATGTGAGAGCTGGACAATGAATAAGGAAGACCGAAGAAGAGTTGATGCTTTTGAGTTGTGGTGCTGGCGAAGAATGCTGAAAGTACCGTGGACTGCTAAAAGAACTAACAGATCTGTCCTGGAGGAAGTGCAGCCAGAATGCTCCTTGGAAGCAAGAATGGCCAGACTTCGTCTCACGTATTTTGGTCACGTTGTCAGAAGGGACCATTCCCTGGAGAAGGATGTCATGCTTGGTAGGGTGGAGGGTCAACAAAAGAGGGGGAGGCCTTCAACGAGATGGATTGACACGGTGGCTGCGATGATGGGCTCAAGTATAGCAGGGATTGTGGGGCTGGCGCGGGATCGGGCAGTGTTTCGTTCTGCTGTGCATGGGGTCGCTATGAGTCGGAAACGACTCGACGGCACTTAACAACAACAACAAACAACATACTGTCATCACGTCGGTCATTTGTACGATGGATCTGACGTCAGCTCACATGCTGCTTTCCTGACTTGACTGAGGCTGGCATGAACACACAAGTAAACTCATAGCTTTATCATGAGTTCCTTGCCAGCACAGGGCAGACACAGCTCCTCATCCATTTGTGCCTAGGCCACGTTCTGGGGCCATTCCGGGCACTGCTCCTAGCCCTTGGGGAGATGTCCTGACTTAGGGGGTGGAGTCTGGGCTGAGACCTTTCTGAAGGCGCTGTTGACTATTTTGGTGGTTTGTGAAAACTTGTCCTTGACCTGTTCCCCATCCCCTGCTAGCCTTCCTGCTGGCCCCCAGGCCCCAGCTGTTCCCCACACCTGCACTACTGACCTGTGATGACACAGCTCCTGGGCTCCTGCGGGCATATGGGGCAAGCCGCCTCCTCCAGGCAGCCTCCTGGGGACCTCCCTGAGAAGGTACTAGGGCACAGAGGTGTGGGAGGCTGGCCTGTTCCCTCAGATGAGGTCTTTGTGGCAGGGGTGGGATGTTCCCTAGGCCTCCCTGGTCTAGCCCAGGGGACATGCTGGCGTCTTGCTGGCTCCTGGTGGTGGGCTGGGGTTCTCTAGTAGTTCACATGCAAGAAGGAGCTTGTAACTCTCTCCCTTTTTCTTTTTTTTTTTCAAATAAACTTTTTTTTTTAAGAGCAATTAAAAAAAACAAATCCACTGCCACTGAGTCGATTCCCACTCATAACAACCTTATAGGACAGAGTAGAACTGCCCTGTAGAGTTTACAAGGCTGTCAGTCTTTACAGAAGCGGACTGCCCTGTCTTTCTCATGAGGGGTGGCTGGTGGTTTTGAACCACCGACCTTTTGGTTGGCAGCTGAGCACTTTAATCACTGCACCACCAGAGCTCCTTAGTGCTCCCAAGTTGCCATGGGTCACCTATGGGGATTACCGTGGGTCATCTTTGGGGTTGCCCATTCTTGGTGCTGGAGCGGTGCTTGGGGACACCTCTGGAGGCAGGGGAGATGGAGTGGCTTGCAGACCTGCCTGGGGTCACCTTCTGGAGAAGTGAGATGTGCATCTCCAGGTTTGTGGGTGTTAATCTCACTCAGGGCTCTGGGCTCTGCTGAAATGTCTGACTTCCGAGTGCAGCCTGTGACTTCTGAGAGTGGCCTGGGGACTCATATGGGTCATGCTGGGCTCTCACTGTAATGTGCAAACATGTTCTGTGTTGAGTGTTGACCTATGTGTTTGAGGCCGACCTATGTTGTCCTGCTGACACGAGAACTCTCACATGACACGTGTCCACTGCTCTTGTGTAACACGTAGTGTTGTGGGTTGAATTGTGTCCCCAAACAAATATTGACATCCTAGCCCCTGTATCTGTCTGTGACCTCGTGGAATAGGGTCTTTGCAGATGCTGTCAGGTGACATGAGCTCACGGTGGAGCAGGTGGGTCCTAATCCCATCTGAGTGATGTCCTTGTAAAAGAGGACAGACATTTGGGGAGACACATGCAGAGGGAAGACACCCTGTGGAGATGCAGCTACATGCTGGGGGACACCTGGGGCCACTGGCAGCTGGAGAGACATGGGGGGGTCCTCCCCTGGAGCTTTGGAGAGGGCACGGCCCGCCAATGCCCTGAATCAGACCCGCAGCCTCCAGAGCTGGGGGGTGAACAAAGTTCTGGTCCTTTAAGTCCCTGGTCTGTTGTCATGGCAACCCCCAGGCACTAGCACACCCATGTTGTCTGTCTTGCTAGCCTGCCTCTCAGGTCATTCCCTCTGCCCCCAGTTGCCTTTGTGGAGCCCTTCAGGGTCTAGGCCAAGCTCTATCACACCAGGGACCTCGGTCTGTCCCCTCCCTGGCCCCAGGGGAGCCCTTGTCCTGGCTAGGACACCTGACAGCAAAGAGACTGTCAGGCCCATCCTGCTATTCTCTGCGGGTCCACAGCTGTGCTTCACAGGCACTCTGTGGAGACTGGAGCCCATGCAGGCCAGGCAGGTGCACAGGTGGGGGAGCAGTGCAGGCACCAAGAGGCACGTGGACACAGCAGAGCAGCTGGGACGTGTGTTGCATAGTGAGGCATGTTGGAGGGTGAATGGTACAGTGGGGACACACGGCACACAGGACAGCTTGGTACACAGATGCTCTGGGGCTGAGTACATGTGCTGAGCAGCATGACACAAACAGCAACTGCAGGGTCACAGGGCCCTGTCTGGTGGATAGAAGGATGCAGAGTGTGGGGCTGGGAGGCGTTGGATGTGACTGTGCGTCAAGGAAGCAGGGAGGGCAGGGTTTGACCTGAGTCTGACTGTCCCGGCTGCCCCCTCCTCTCCATCCTAACCCTCCTTCCTCCTCTGGGCTCCAGGAGGAGGTAGGTGGGGTAACCCAGGGATGCACATGCAAATGTCGAGGGGGATGGGATTGCCTGAGCTGGGGACATGTTGGGCACCTCCCTCCCCCAGGTCCCACAGGCTGGTGGCATCCCCTTCCCCAACCTGGGTCCTGGGCTGGACGATGGGGCTGGGGCAGTAGAGAGTCCAGGTAAGTGGGCATGGGCTTTGGAGCTGCAGGGGCTGGGCTGGCACTGGGACCTTGGGGGCTGAGCTGTGGGGCTGTGGGAATCCAGGGGCAGGGGCTCGTACTGCGAGCTTTGCCTGGAGGGGCCCTGCAGGTGCCTGTATGTCCCCGGGGAGGAGGCCACACACTGCCTTGTGCGTACCAGGTGCATTTGTTGTGTGTCACACATGTGCTAGTATTCCTGGATGTGCACCATGGCTGTGTTCACTGTGGGCCTGTGTGGCAGTGTCTGTGTGTTTCTACCAGTGTGTGGTTTTGATGTGTCTCCAAGTGACCCATGAATGTCTCTGTGGGGGTGCTTCATGTCTCCACACGTGTCCCAAGCCTCAGCCATAGTAGAGGCACAGACATGAGTCCTGGGGGACAGTGTGGGACGCCGAGTCCTGGGCATCTGCATGTCACGTCCAGGTATCCTAGCGATGCTGCTGCCTGTCTCCTAGCAACCAGGTCCCCATTCTTAACGAGGAAGGTACTCTGTGTGGGTTGATTGCCTTCACAGTCTGCTTGGGGGAGCAGCCTAGTGACTGAGTGGACACTGGTGACTCAGGTCAGGGGTCATTGTATGGTCGTGGCCTATAGCTTCCATCCGAGTCAGCTCTGTGCATGTCCTTACGCTGAAGGGGAGCTCGGCCGGCCATAGCCCAGCTGCCCTTAGTGGGTCTGAAGTAATAACCCAATGGGCAGACCCCTGTCTCTGCTCACTCTGCCTGTGCTCGTGAAGGCTGGCACAGTGGGCACTTGGCCAGGCTGTGTCCTGAGGCACAGTGGCCGCTGGTTTAAGGTGCTCTTTGCAGAGAGCTGGCCAGGCAGGGGCATGGCATTCAGGCACCAGGGCATGGGGAGCCCTGTCAGGGAGAGTGGCTGTGGCTGGCACTCTGACTTGGCTTTGGCACAGGCAGGATGGGGCCTGGTAAGAGCAACCATGGGTGACCTGTGAGTACCCATGAGGGCTGATTGTCCAGTGTCTCTCTGACCTAGCCTGTTTGTGTGTCTGTCCCCACAGCTGTGTGTCCAAGCCTGTACGTGTGTGTCTGCTCTCTCTGTGACCAAACCTGTATGTGCATCTGGGTCTGTCGGTAGATCCCTCTGTCTGTCTCTGTGTGTGTGTCCTGGTCCTTCGGCTGTCTGTCTGTACCATGTGGGGTGCAACGACCCTTCCCTGCATGCTCCCCCTCTAGCCCATGTGGCCCCTCCCCTGCCAGAGCTGCTGCTCTCTCCCCTCCCCCAGCTCCTGGCTCAGCGCAGTGACTGCGTCTCAGCGTCTACTGAGAAGGAGCAGCTGCTGGGGCTGGGACTGCAGCCTTTCCCGCAGGCTCTGAGTGAGGAGGGGCCTCCACCAGCCCCTCAGCCCCTCCGGCCCCTGCCTGCTGAGGCCTGGGCCCCACTGCCCCAGCGTTGATTCCCAAGGTGAGGGCCTGAGTCTCGGGGTGGGTTGTGGGGTGGGTTACTGACAGGCTGGTAGCTTCTGGGTGGGGGACAGAACTGGGGGTGGAAGGAGAAGGCTGGGCATTCAGCCCTCCGTGTTCTGGGTCACAGGCATTTCTGGGTGTGTTTTGCCTGTGTGGGAACAGACATACAGACAGGTCCATTAGGGGTCTGTGTGTGTGTGAGGGCAGGTTTGGGCATCTCCATGTGTGCACATGTGTGTTGCTGCATCCCCGAGCCTATGTACGTGCAGGTGCTGTATGTCCCTCGGGTGGACACGTGTCTTGGTGTGTCACCACACCCACGCATCCAATGTGTGAGTCCAGAAACCAGAAGGGACCATGTCCCCATGAGAGTTTGAGTGTGAATGTCACATGTCTGTATGTCCCCCTGTGTCTCTGTCTGTGTATCTTGTGTGTCTGTCACATGTCTGTATGTCCTCCCATGTCCATCTGTGCTTCACATGTCTGTATGTCCCTCTGTGTCCCTGCATGTGTGCCACATATTGTATGTCCCCCTGTGTCCCTGTGTTGTGTGTCTATGTGTCCGATGTTCGAATGTTCCCCTGTGCTCTGTGTGCACACATGGGCTTTGGGCTCTGTGGCTGCCTGTGGGGGCTGCCTGTCCCCTCCTCGTCCATGCATGTGGGGTGTGCAGTCACGTGCCTCTGTGCCACCCCAGGTGCTGAGCGGCCAAGTGGTGGCATGGAGTCTCTCTTCCCTGCCCCATTCTGGGATGTCTTCTATGGTGGCCACCTGCAGGGCAACCTCTCCCTCCTGAGCCCCAATCACAGCCTGCTGCCCCCCCACCTACTGCTGAACACCAGCCACGGCTCCTTCCTGCCCCTTGGGCTCAAGGTCTCCATTGTGGGGCTCTACCTGGCTGTGTGCATAGGGGGACTGCTTGGGAACTGCCTCGTCATGTATGTCATCCTCAGGTAGGCTCCCCCCCATCAGAAGCTCCCAGGGCCTCACTGGTCAAACGGCTGCGAGGGGGAAACTGAGGCAAGGCTGTTCGGGACAGGCCTGGGGCAGATGGGGGATCTCCTGCTTCCTGCATCCGATTCCTGGTCATGCTGTCCAGGGGAGGGGCGGTGGTGAAGGAGGAGGGGACCTAGGCCCTCCCTGCTCTTGTCTGGGGTGATGAGGGGAACCAGGCCCAATCCTTGCCTGTCTGGGGGGCAGGAGGGGACCCAGGCCCTCTCCCTAGCTGTTAGGACGGGGTGGGGGTACAGCCCAATCCCAGTTACCATAGTGACTTGGACCTACTAATGACCTCATCTGTCTGAGGTGGGGCCAGGCTGTGTGCCATGCTGTCTTGCATGGATTACATCACTGGAGCCCAGCAGTGCCCTGTGGCTCTGCTCTTTTGTCAGCCCATGCTATAGATGAGCTAACAGAGTTGCACAGAGCATGTGGGTGGAGCCTGCTCTCCTGGCTCCAGGGCTTGGGGCTCAGTGTTGACGTCTGTGGCTACTACAGGTCTGCTGATGCTCAGAGGGGGGGGCAAGCTCCTGGGGCCCAAGACTGGTGGCCAGGCTGTGGGTGGCCAGTGTCCTGGGTCAGTGTGCTGCATAGGGGTCAAGTGAAGAATGGAGATGACCCGGTAGAAGTGGAAGGGTCCTGACCATGAGACGATGCAGACAAGAGGAGGTGCCAGGGTTGGGGCCGGTGTGGGATCTTGAGGGCTGGAGGACATTTTGTTCTCCAGGCAGTAGGGAGCCCTGAAAGGTCTTTGACCAGGAAAATGACCTGGCTAAGGGGATCCAGAAAGATGTGATTCTGAAGAAAGTGCTCAGAGCTCTAAAGAAGTGGCCTCTCCTTATACACTCAAAGGCCCCCAAGCAGAGGTGCCAGTGGTAGGAACAGTGGGGTTGGAGGCAGGATGGGGCAGTGGGAGTGTCCAGGCCCTACTTCTTTCTCTGAGTGAGCCTGAGCAAGGCCTATTCTTCTCTGGGCCTCATTTTCCCCATTTGGAGAGGTGAACCAGATAGCTACATGTGTGCATGTCCATGCATGGATGGGCATGAACGCAGACCACATTCATGTATACATACATGCACGCACCACACCTGCATATGCATGATATGGCATGCACATGCACACATACAGATATACACACATGCATGCATACAGGCACACACGTGTGCACAGTATGTAAGAGCAAGTGTGTGTTTGTGTATGCCTGTACATACGTGTGCACAGATATGTGTATGCATGTGAAGCATGATCAGACAAAGCGGTGGGAGGAGTAGTTGCCCACTGCCCAGTGTTGACCTGCAGTGGTGGGTCCTGGGGAGGCTGCTTCTCACCCACATGCCCTGTGTAGCTGGAAGGCATGCTGTGGTTGAGGAGTCAGCAACCTGGGCTGGCCACACACCTCCACACTTCCTGTCATGGGTGCTGGTCTTCTCTGGCTTACCTCTGCATGGGCCTGTAGGAGCCCTCAGACTAAGGTCTTGGATTACAACAGGCAGGGATGCCGTTGCCCGTTAGCAGTCCCCAGAGAGAGTGATGCCCAGGAAGCACTGTGACCACATGGGCCGGAGAGCAGCACATGGTGTGCTCCAAGCTGCTGGGCTGGAGCTGGCTGCCTGTGGACCAGAGATACCTGTGCGACTCAGCTCTGAAAGCTTCCAGTGCCTCTGAGCCTGTTGCCCCCTCTGTGAAGTGGGGGCAGTAATACCCACCACAGTGTTTTCACGAGTATTAAATGAGATAAAATCCTTGTGAAGAGCTTGGCACAAGTATTGTGCAACAACAACATTGTCATCGTTGTTGGGCAGAATTGAGGCCTCTTTGTGCTTATTTTGAATCTCTCTTTCAGAGGCAGTACTAAACTCAGATTCCCCCACGGAAGCTTAATTGACATGGAAAATTGTCGTCTCTGGTGCTGCCACCTCCCCTCCCCCCCATCACCACCACTAAAACCATCATCACCACCACTACTGTCATCACTGCCCGCACCGCCACTATCTCCCCCATTGTCATCACCATCAACATCACCACCACCATCAACACCACTATTACCGCCATTGACTCATTCAGCAAATATTTATTCAGCACCTACAACCTTCCAAGTGCTATTCCAGGTGCTCTTTTTCCAACCAACACCATCACACCCTTCCTGTCCCTGTCACCACTTCCTGTGTTCATCTTGGTGTGGCCTTGGTAGATTCGATAGGCTCATACAGACTGTGGAGCCCTTGGAAACCTCTGGTAGCTGCAGGGCCAGCATGTTAATCAGTGAGGGGTCTTGTGGGGAGAGCTCACAGGAAAGGATAGTGTTTTTTTTCTCTTAGTCCTACCCTTCTCCCCTGGGCAGAGTCCAGTGTGTTCTCTGTGCCGTATGCATCAACATTTCAAAAGTAGACTAGTCTTCAATGTCCTTTGCTCTTCACGTGAGTCAAAATTACTGAGGGCTCGTTACTTGTGACCAACTCTGTGGGGCCTCCAGCTGGGCCCAGAGCTTGCATTTTAACAAGCTTCTCTGGGGACTCTGGCATTGAGGGTCTGGGAGCTGGAATCACCCTTTTCTGCCAGGTCCAGCCAGAATGCCTCGCAAACTCTCTCCCACCCTCCTCTCTGCAGACACACCAAGATGAAGACAGCTACCAACATTTACATCTTTAACTTGGCACTGGCAGACACCCTGGTTCTGTTGACGCTGCCCTTCCAGGGCACAGACATCCTCCTGGGCTTCTGGCCATTTGGAAATGTCCTGTGCAAGACAGTCATCGCAATTGACTACTACAATATGTTTACGAGCACCTTCACGCTCACCGCCATGAGCGTGGACCGCTACGTAGCCATCTGCCACCCCATCCGTGCTCTTGATGTCCGGACATCTAGCAAAGCCCAGGCCGTCAATGTGGCCATCTGGGCACTGGCCTCCATCATTGGCATCCCCGTTGCCATAATGGGCTCGGCACAGGTTGAGGACGAAGGTCAGTGTGGTGTCCTGCTCCCTGTGGCTCCCTTGGACCCTTCTCTGCCCTCCACCCACAGGTCCCCAGCCTGCACTGACCGGTGTCTCCTCCTCCACAGCACCTTGCTTCCTGTCGCTCTTGTGTCACTACCCTGCCTGCTGCCTGCCACCTGCCGTCCCCTGAGCATTCTTACTGCTGTCTCCTCCTTCCCAGCACCCGGCTCCCCCTGGTCCCCATGGGCCCTTCCCTGTCCCCTGGCCTCGAGGCCGCTACTATTCTGACTGCTCTCTCCCTGCAGAGATCGAGTGCCTGGTAGAGATTCCTGCCCCGCAGGACTACTGGGGGCCCGTGTTCGCTATCGGTGTCTTCCTCTTCTCCTTTGTCATCCCTGTGCTCATCATCTCAGTCTGCTACAGCCTCATGATCCGGCGGCTGCGCGGTGTCCGCCTGCTTTCGGGCTCCCGCGAGAAGGACCGGAACCTGCGTCGCATCACGCGGCTGGTGCTGGTGGTGGTGGCCGTGTTTGTGGGCTGCTGGACGCCCGTGCAGGTGTTCGTGCTGGTCCAGGGGCTGGGCGTGCAGCCAGGCAGTGAGGCCGCCGTGGCCCTGCTGCGCTTCTGCACGGCCCTCGGCTACGTGAACAGCTGCCTCAACCCCATCCTCTACGCCTTTCTGGATGAGAACTTCAAGGCCTGTTTCCGCAAGTTCTGCTGCGCCTCTGCCCTGCGCCGGGAGACCCAGGTGTCTGACCGTGTGCGCAGCATCGCCAAGGATGCTGGCCTGGCCTGCAAGATCTCAGAGACGGTGCCGCGGCCCGCGTGACTAGGCGTGGACCTGCCCCTGGTGCCCGTCAGCCCGCAGAGCCCATCCACACCCAACACAGAGCTCACGCAAGTCACCGCTCTCTAGGCTGTGAGCCTGGCTGCTTGGCCTACAGGCAACGGTAGGAAAGCTAGGAACTTGAGACCTCACTGGACAAAGTGAAGCATGAGGGCAGCTGCTGAGGGCCTCCTGCCACTGGCTGGACCCCGTGCAGACAACTCCTGTTTTGAGGGCTCTTTCTTGGATACTTCCCTGCTGAGTCTGGACACACTGGAGGGGTGCTTCCCACCTGTACAGACCCCACCCCCGCTATGTGCATGTTTTCAGGCCCAGGACTCCCAGGTGCCCCAGCCCTGGGACTCCAAGCCCCAAGAGTCGGGGCCACAGCTGTTGACTTTGGGACTTGCCCACCTGAAGCACCTGCCTGCTCTTCATGTGTGTCACTGAAAAGCCCTGTGTCCTATCTGGGCCCTCGTAGCCTTGAACCATGGCATCCCTCACACTGGCCTGGTGATGTCCCTGGGGAATATGATGTGCCTCCAGGCATCTCTGGGGCCAGGCCACCCCCTGAACTGAGTGAGGGGGCGGAGTTGGAGGAGATGGCCCTGGTTGGGTGGTGATGGGGGGTGGGCTGCTTGAGCCAAGCTACAAGAACTGCAGATGGTGGGGCCTCAGGGACACTTGGCTGTGGTCGCCCGGAGAATACCCTCCTTGATCCGCTGACTTTGCAAACGCTCTTCCTGAAGATGAACTCCAGCTTCACCTGGAGCTGAGCTGCACCCAACCTGGCCTCGCAGGGTCATCCTGGGAGGGAGGCTCTGAAGGTGTTAGGGCAGAGGGTTGTGAATTTTGCCAAGTGACAGTGTCCCTCATGTATTCATGCATCCGATAGCATACCTCCAGTGCATGTGGCCAGCCCCAACCTGCTCCAGGGCTGGTGAGGGAGGGTCTTCATAAACAACTGCTTGTGACCACCCACATTTCTCAGGGCTCCTGCTGGGGAGAGGCAGCATGTCTGGGGGTCAGCACGTGGGTGCAAGGCAGCTATGGGTCTGGGAGGGTATGTCCTTGTTCTCTCTCCTCTGTCCAGGCTCTGTGCACAACTGCAGGGTCCCCAGGTGCCGTGAGTTTGTGGGGTTCTTTTCAGCAGAGTGCTCTCTGAACGGCTGACTTCCCTGCCACTGGCCTCTGGGCCCACAGGCTGGGTTTGTCTGCACATGCTCCATTTCAGCCTCCTTCCCTTCTTTGAGCAGATCTGAAGAGGGGCTTGGTGGGATGCTGAGCTTGGTGTCCCGGCCACTGTGAGGGCCATGGTCCAGAGAGAGGCCTTGTGGGGCCTGTGTGTGGGGTGCTGGCTTGAGGGACTTGTGTCCACAGCTGCTGGACAGACGGCCAGTGTGAAGAGGAGAAGCTTCTGTTAAAACGGTGATTTAGCATCAGGGGAGGGTGTGGGAAGGATCGACATCCAGTGGGGATATGGGGTGCTGACCAGCCCTCGGACCCCACGGTGTGTCTGAGTGTCCAGGGCAGGCCCTCCAGGAACTGGATTCTGAGGGATCAGAGAAGGAGCAGGGTCTGTCAGAGCATCTGAGGGCTCAGGCTGGGCCTTCAAGGAGGTCCCTGAAGGAGCCCTGCTGTCCAGCCTCATCTGCCTCTGCCTCCCTGCCAGGTGCCTGCTCTGAACCCTGAAGGGCAGTCATTCTCCATCGGGCAGTGTGGGACATGTCATAGGCAGGGCTAAGGCTCCCTGCATGGGCATGGCTGTACTTGCCTCTCCCCAACTTGTGCCCTCCTGTGACACCCCCCTCCCCCTGTCCCTACCTGTCCCTCCACCCCATCTCTCCCTGACCTCTGCTCCCCTACCTGTGCCCCCCCGCCCCACCTTTCCCCACTCTATCTCCTCTCTGCCCACCTCTCCCCCACCTCGCGCCCATCTCTGTCCCCCTTCCTGTCCCCTCCCTCTGCCCTATATCTCCCTGACCTCTGCCGGACTTCTCCCCCAACTCTGCCCACCTCTCCCCCACCTTGTCCCACCTCTATTCCCATCTCTGCCACCACCTCAGCCCCACATTGGCCCACTTCCACTCCCTCTTCCCCTGCTCCCACCTGGGCCCCACCTGGGCCCACCTTTGCCTTGACTGAGGCTTCTCTGAGCCTCGGTTTTTTTATCAGTCAAAGGGAGCACGGAACCTCCCTGGCTGGGTTGCCATGGAAGGCCCAGCCAGTAGGGAAGGTTGGTGTTGGCAGATGGACTTGTGGGCAGTAAGAGGGATCAGAGGTCTGCAGGCTTGGGGCTTACCTGTGGCTTTGGACTGTGATCACCAGGGGGCGTTATTTCCTCCCCATGGCCCCACTGAGGGTGTGGGCTGGGGAGGGGAGGAGTGTCTGGGGGTCCAACTTTCCCCTAGTCCAGGAGCTCAGAGCACAGGGCCATAATAGAATCGGTTGCTCACTGTGATGTCCTCTCCTGTGTCCCCCTGCAAGTCCACTGTGAGATAACTGTGTCCTGGGGTGGGCATTGCCCTGCTGACCCAGTACAGACCTAAGTGGGATGCCATGAAAGCTTCCCCTGCTCCCTCCTTGTCCCACATCCCAGCGCTTGCTGGGATCTGTGAGTGGCCCACCCCTTGGATGCAGGGGTGGTTTATGGTGGCAGGACTGTGCCTGATCAGCCTTGACCTCACCATGGTGTGCACTGTGGAAGTAACACAAAGACCAGGGGAAGACCCGGTGGACCCCATACTGAGATACAAATGGAGCAGAAACCAGCACCCCCCCCCCCCCATGAAATGGGTGTGGAGTCTCCAGAGGAAAGTCGGTCATTCCCTGGCCGGATCCTGACTGACCGGCCATGGTTGGCAGCTTCTCTGTGGGTAGTTGGGAGACTGTAGCTGCGGCTGCAGGCTCCCTGGGTCCATCACAGGTCCTCCCCTGCACCCCTCCTGCCCCACGATTCTCCGTTCACTTGTACCCCCTGCCCATGCTGGCAGCTCCTTCTCCTTCAAGGAGCTCTAGAGTACAGGATCGAGTGCCTGGAAGCAGTAATTGTCCATGCACGGCATGACCTGCTCCATGAGGTGTGACCTCAGCGCTGTGCCGAAGCAGGCCCAGCAACAACTGGTTCTTCCTGGTGGGAGGCAGGCGTAGTGGCGTCCCTGCACAGTTCACATAAAAATGGTTGAAGTGGTAAATATTTTGTTATGTACATTTAATCACAATAATAATAATAATAATACCCCTGGGTGTGCGCCAGACTTAGCGGCTCACTCTGCTGACTAGAATGGCTGGAAGGGACAGTGGCTTCTGAGCCTGGGTCACAGATGGCCTTTGGCTTCCTCCTAGCTCTCTGAAAAGGTGACTTCCATGTCAGGTGGATGCTCAGGCAGCCTGTGCATAACCCACTTGCGTAACACTTGCAGCACCACAGACCACCATCACATCCATGGGGAGAGGACTCACTGGCCCCAGCAAGCGCCCGGGATGGGGGCTGTGGGCCAGCCAAGAGGGGAGGCCTCCAGCCAACAGCCTTCATGTGAGTGAGATCCAGATGGGCTTCCCTCCCTCGCTCCCCCCATAACCCCACTGCCTCCTGGGACCTGCAGCATCTTTGCTTGAGGTGGGGGGAGGTTTGTGCAGCTGGAATTTACCTTAGGACGGTGGCTGGGGCTCTTCTTGTGACAGCCCTAAGGTAGTGTCAAGTGGAGGGCCCTGCTCACACGGCTCCGGGAGGCAGGTGGGATTCCAGCCAGGAATGCTCCCTGCACAGCCATGGTCCTTTCAGCCCACGGTGGCGGTGCACACAGCCCAGCCACCTTTGTCCTCCTCTGAGGGTCCACGAGAGCAGACCCAAGTCAGAGTCTCTGCTAGCAGTTTATCTGTAGGTTTCTTTTTCTTTTAATTTTTATTGTGGATTGGGTGAAAGTTTACAGAGCAAATTCACTTTCCATATAGCAGCTCACACACACTTTGTCTCATGACATTGACTATAATTTACCCCAATGCAACAGCTCCCCTCCCACTTCCTTCCCATAGTTACCTCTTCCCTGTGTCCATCCCTCCATGCACTCCTGCCCCCTGAGCTGTCTCCCTGTACATACACAGCCCTTCTTTCTCTCATGATTGTTCTCTCCAAGGAGTGTATTTACCTAGTGTAAGTGTTTACCTCATATGCCTGTCTTTTGTTTGGCTGGAAGCCACAGGTGTGGATTCAATTCCAGACCTGAAGGGCAGCTAGACATCATGGTCTCAGTGATTCCATCAGGCTCTATCACATCAGCAAATCTGGTCTTTTTTTCTTTTTTTATGATTTTGAGTTTTGTTCCACATTGTTTTCCCTCTCTATCCAGGATCTCCTACATAGATCCCCCTCTGAGTGGTTGACAGTGGTAGCTGGACCCCATCTAGTTCTTCTGGTCTCATAGTTGTATAGGCTGAGTATCGCATGGTGTACCAGTCACGAGGACTAATTGTTTCCATGCATCTTTGGTTTTCTTCATTCTTTGCTGTGGAC